CTCCGGAAGCCCTTGGAGAGTCATTTGTCGAGGGACAAACCCGGTCTGCTTATCGACGTAGTAGGCGGCATCCATGGCGCTATTGATGCTAGCTCCCGACATGGCTAACCCAAACGTTATTTTAGAAACGACTAAAATACGTATGTTACCCCTGGGTAATGTTGAGGAAAGGGTCTTGGACTCGTGTGAGCATTCGCAGGGACATCATCCACATGTTATATTGCTCGCGTCCTCTGACGGTGTTCCGGCTCCTCCGGATACAGCGCAATTCCGTTGCCATATAGTCCTACTGGCTCTCAACCAGCTATGTGCCATGATTCTGACAAATCTGCGGACCATCGCGAACAGCACGTAAGCTGACCTCAGATCCTCTCGGAGTGAATCATGACATTCGAAAATGATAGAATATTAAAGTGCGACGGCACTTCTGGCTATATATGCCCCAAGCATGGCATTCAGGGAGGCAATACCCGTCTGTAATATGTACTATAAATGGATTTATCGCATAAACCTTACTTACTAAGGCGCATCAGTGGTCAAACGTCCTTTCCGACGATTTAGACTCCACGCACACTCAGCCTAAGATGTCATATGGCACCGCAACGTCTTCAACGGGGTCAGAGTGTCAAACTTTCCGGGCTTCACTCAATATGAGCTCCCAGGGATTGATGCTTTCTTGCTGCCTTGCCACAGGTCTGAGATATCGTCTGGATCTTGGGACCGCTGGCCTTTCATGATGAAATACTGTGCAAGGAAATTCCTGCAGTACTACTTAATTTGGGCACGAATCCTGATCAGCAAAACTCAAAGAAAATTGGGCAACGCCCGGAGCATGTAACTGATAGGGTTAGGCTCGTGCAGACAAACAGCGTAAGACGATCGTGAGCCATGAGCTGACGTTCATTTTAAGCTTATAATATGATGGTATTGTTTCACAGCAGTCGACGTAGCTTCAGCCGCATCGACAATATGAACATCCCTGACACGATGAGGAATCATGAGGGGCCAGCTCCACAAATGCGGCTTCTTAGACAAGGTTAACCCCTGTCGACATGGCTTGGCTGGTTGCAGGGGTCAACCATTCCACGGTTGAATCTTCAACCCATGAGAGTGAACGAGCGTGCGAGTACTTCGTAGTGCTCTGCCAGCTAAGAAGGACGCCTGCAAAATTCGGACGCAATCGACGGAGATTAAACCTAGGTTGAGCGGACGAAAGCGCTTGAGACGCTATTCCAGTTTTAAGACGAATTTACAAGTCCGTACCGGTGCGAACCGATTGATACCGATGACACAAGTCGTGACTCGGTCTCGGACACGAACATTGTGGTTGGTGGTAAAACTTCGTGATGTACCCACAAGGACAAGAACGCCACCGACGAACAGCGCCTTGCTGAAAGCTGCAGAAGATGCGACACTCCGTTATGTATATTTAGTGCTTATAGCTGAGCACGCACGTTCCGATTAATTTCTGGCTCTGGATTCACCCTGCTTGCAATGTGGGCCAGTGGCGCCTACTTGTCGGAAGCCTATCGTAGGGGAAGTTGCGCCCCTGGTACTATTTAGAGAGCAGTTGAACAAGGCTGAGAAGTAGTACTTAAGTCAGAGCAATTCCATTGAGAAGTCAGATGCACGACGGCACACCGTGAATTGATCCTCTTGGCTGAGTCGAACTGCGACCGCTTAAGTCACGTGCCTCATTTATCGTTTGTTCCTCTCCAAAGACTATCATGCAAGCCTTCAGCATTCTCATCGCATTTGCGATCACGCTGAGCTCGACGCTTGCCGCTCCCACGGACGCCTCTACTCGCCAGCAGCAAATCAACTATGCCGAAGTTGCGGCGCTAAGTCAACAGCTCGGGAACTTACGCAATTCCGTCCTGGGGCAGATCCAACAAGTTACGGGTGACGACGCGACTTCGCGGATCGCTGGTCAACTCAAGTTTGGCGGGTCCGTGCAACGCCTCAAGGGCGCCGCCAACGACATCAGCAGTGCCATTGATTCCATCCAGAAGACCTTGGATAACGTCGCGTCTCAATACTCTAGCAATGAGAAAGCGAATTGGAACAACTTCAGCTGAGGGCTGGTGTTGAGAGCGAGCAAAACACGCACACACCTCGACAAGGCCATGGCCACGGAGCCGTGAAGCGTTGGTGACGTTTGGAGCTGCCATAAACGGAACATGTCTTCTAAAGGAGAGGAGGGGAGAGTTGATGGGGAAGAAGGGGTCCGAAATTACCATCCTGTAAAGAAATATATCCATAGAAGTACAAGGAATAGGCATAAAGCCAATGACAAGGCATGGACGCCATGTGATTTAGACGCAAGCTTATATCTTGAAGTGTAGCCACAAGAATAGAGAGGCACGATGCTAGGCCGGCGGCAGAGACGTGACTGTGGACGCGTCATTGTCGAAATATGGGAGAGCGTGCGTAGACGTAGCCTCTTTGGCTCTTGTGCAGCGTATTACGCTGGCTCTCTCGTGTCACAGGCTGCGTGTCGCCATTCACTCCATCCCTTCTTAAGCGACTTGTTGAATCTGCTCGGCCCCCTGCGTTTAGGATTTACGGTCCCCACGTTCTAATCGCTCAATTTAGCCTTGCTCGAGGCAACAGTATTGGGCAGCTCGCTGCTATACAGCCGAT